AGAATATACATTCTTCTCAGCACCACATTGCACTTACTCTAAAACTGACCACATAATTGGAAGTAAAACACTCCTCAGCAAAATACAAAATAATGGAAATCATAACAGTTTCTTAGACCACAGTGCAATCAAATTAGAACTCAGGATTAAGAAACTCACTCAAAACTCCACAACTACATGGAAACTGAACAACCTGCTCCTGGATGACTACTGGGTAAATAACAAAATTAAGCCAGAAATAAAGATGTCCTTTGAAACCAATGAGAACAAAGACACAACATACCAGAATCTCTGAGACACATTTAAAGCAGTGTGTAGAGGGAAATTTATAGCACTAAATGCCCACAAGTGAAAGCAGAAAAGATCTAAAACATTGACACTCTAACATCACAACTAAAAGAACTAGAGAAGCAAGAGCAAACAAATTCAAAAGCTAGCGGAAGACAAGAAATAACTAAGATCAGAGCAGAACTGAAGGAAATACAGACACAAAAAAAACCTTTAAAAAATTAATGAATTCAGGCCGGGCGCGGTGGCTCAAGCCTGTAATCCCAGCACTTTGGGAGGCCAAGGCGGGTGGATCACGAGGTCAAGAGATCGAGACCATCCTGGTCAACATGGTGAAACCCCGTCTCCACTAAAAATACAAAAAATTAGCTGGGCATGGTGGTGCGTGCCTGTAATCCCAGCTACTCAGGAGGCTGAGGCAGGAGAATTGCCTGAACCCAGGAGGCAGAGGTTGCAGTGAGCCGAGATCGCGCCATTGCACTCCAGCCTGGGTAACATGAGTGAAACTCCGTCTCAAAAAAAAAAAAAAAAAAAATTAATGAATCCAGGAGCTGATTTTTTGAAAAGATCAACAAAATAAATAGACCACTAGCCAGACTAATGAAGAAAAGAGAGAAGAATCAAACAGACACAATAAAAAAATGATAAAGGGAATATCACCACCGAACCAACAGAAATACAAACTACCACCCAGAGCATACTATAAACACCTCTATGCAAATAGAAAATCTAGAAGAAATGGATAAATTCCTGGACACATACACCCTCCCAAGACTAAACCAGGAAGAAATCAAATCCCTGAATAGACCGATAACAAGTTCTGACATTGAGGCAGCAATTAATAGCCTACCAACCAAAAAAAGTCCAGGACCAGATGGATTCACAGACAAATTCTACCAGAGGTACAAAGAGGAGCTGCTCTAACTCATTTTATGACATCAGCATCATCCTGATAGCAAAACCTGGCAGAGACACAACAAAAAAGAAAAATTCAGGCCAATATCCCTGATGAACATCAATGTGAAAAAATAAAATACTGGCAAACTGAATTCAGCAGCACATCAAAAAGTTTATCCACCATGATCAGGTTGGCTTCATCCCTGAGATGCAAGGCTGGTTCGGTATAACAAATCAATAAACATAATCCATCACATAAACAGAGCCAATGACAAAAACCAGATGATTATCTCAATAGATGCAGAAAAGGCCTTCGACAAAATTCAACAGCCTTCATGCTCAAAACTCTCAATCAACTTGGTATTGATGGAATGTATCTCAAAATAAGAGCTATTTATGACAAACCCACAGCCAATATCATACTGAATGGGCAAAAACTGGAAGCATTCCCTTTGAAAACTGGCACAAAACAAGGATGCCCTCTCGCACCACTCCTATTCAACATAGTATTGGAAGTCCTGGCCAGGGCAATCAGGCAAGAGAAAGAAATAAAGGGGATTCAATTAGGAAAAGAGGAAGTCAAATTGTCTCTGTTTGCAGATGACATGATTGTGTATTTAGAAAACCCCATCATCTCAGACCAAAATCTCCTTAAGCTGATAAGCAACTTCAGCAAAGTCTTAGGATACAAAATCAATGTGCAAAAATCACAAGCATTCCTATACACCAATAACAGACAAGAGAGCCAAATCACAATTGCTACAAAGAGAATAAAAATTATAGGAATACAGCTAGGGATGTGAAGGACCTCTTGAAGGAGAACTACACCACTGCTCAAGAAAATAAGAGAGGACACAAATAAATGGAAAAACATTCCATGCTCATGGATAGAAAGAATCAATATGAAAATCGCCATACTGCCCAAAGTAATTTAAAGATTCAGTGCTATCTCTATCAAGCTACCATTAACTGTCTTCACAGAATTGGAAAAAAAATACTTTAAATTTCATATGGAACCAAAAAAGAGCCTGTATAGCCAAGACAATCCTAAGCAAAAAGAACAAAGCTGGAGGCATCACACTACCTGACGTCAAACTATACTACAAGCCTACAGTAACAAAAACAGCAAGGTACTGGTACCAAAACAGACATATAGACCAATGGAACAGAACAGAGCCCTCAGAAATAACACCACACATCTACAACCATCTGATCTTTGACACACCTGACAAAAGCAATAGGGAAAGGATTCCCTATTTAATAAATGGTGTTTGGAAAACTGGCTAGCTACATGCAGAAAACAAACTGGATCCCTTCCTTACACCTTATGCAAAAATTAACTCAAGATGGATTAAAGACTTAAACGTAAGACCTGGAACCATAAAACCCCTAGAGGAAAACCTAGGCAATACCATTCTGGACATAGGCATAGGCAAAGACTTCATGGCCAAAACACCAAAAGCAGTGGCAACAAAAGCCAAAATAGACAAATGGGATCTAATAAAACCAAAGAGCTTCTGCACAGCAAAAGAAACTATCATCAGAGTGAATAGGCAACCTACAGAATGGGAGAAAATTTTTGCAATCTATCTCACAAAGGGTTAATATCGAGAATCTACAAAGAACTTAAACAAATTTACAAGAAAAAAAAAACCATCAGGCCGGGCCTGGTGGCTCACGCCTGTAATCCCAGCACTTTGGGAGGCCGAGGCGGGTGGATCACGAGGTCAAGAGATCGAGACCATCCTGGTCAACACGGTGAAACCCCGTCTCTACTAAAACTACAA